AGTGAAGGTAAAATAAAAACTTTATTTTTAATTAATCTAAATGATAATTTGTTCAAAAGAATGGCAATAATGTATTCAAATATAAATTATTGCTTATGTATGAAATAAATGACAGCAATCATACAAGAGACAAGAACAAGGACTTGGGATTACTCTGTTATTACAAGATACTTCACTAGCTATGAAGAAGTAGCATGTTATTTGAAAGTGGGCTGAAATTAGTTGTAAATTTATATTGCAAACTCTAGGGTAACCATTAAGAAAGGTTGAAAAATAGAAGTATAGTTGAAATGCTAAAGAGAGAGAGAGAGAGAAAGAAATCATTTAAGGTGCAGCTTCATTCATAATTGCCAAAACTTAGAAGCAATCAAGATGTCCTTAAGTAGGTAAATGAATAAACAAACTGTGGTACAGGCAGATCATAGAATGTTATTCATTAAAAAGAAATAAGCTGTCAAACTTTAAATATTACTAAGCGAGAGAAACCAACCTGAAAAGGCTACATACTGTATGATTCCAACTATGTGAAATTCTGGAAAAGGCAAACCTATGAGACAGTAAAAAGATCAGTCATGTCCAGGGGTTAGAGAGAAGGGAGGAAAAGAGATATGGAACACAGAGCATTTTTAGGGCAGTGAAATTATTCCGCATGATACTATGATAGCGGATAAATGTTGTCATGCATTTGTCAAAGCCCAGAGAATGTACAACACCAACAGAGAGCACGAATTTTAACATGTAAACTATGGACTTAGGTGATAATGAAGGTTCATCAATGTTAACAAATGGGCCACACTCTGGTAAGGCATGTTATGTTGACAGTAGGGGAGGCTGTGCATGTGTGTGTGGTAGGCAGAAGCAGATATATGGGAATTCTGTACTTTCCACTCAATTATTTTTATAATCCTAAAATTGCTCTAAATAAGAAAGTTTATTAATTTAAAAGTATATATGAAAGGGTTAGAAACTGATCTCTCATTTCTATCCTTGTCCATCCCATTTTCTCTTCACCCTAGCCTCTTCAGGCAACCATTTTTACAACTGCCGGTGTATCTCTGAAACTTTCCTTAGAAAATGCAAGCAAATTCTGAAATATATGCTTATATTCCCGCATTTCTTAAATACAATTTAGCACATGCAAAAGCTTATGAAAAATGCTGCTCAAAGAAAGAAAGGAAGGGAAAATCAGAAGTGAAAACTAAGGAAAAGCAAGAAATATTCTCAACAGATATAGAGAAAGCAATAGATTTAGAATTATAGAACTGAAGGATAAAACTGTCTTATTTATAACAATTTTAATGCCTCAAATTTATAATTCAAAAAGATGTTTCCCTAATTGCAATGGCATATTTTCTACACTGTCAAAGCACTTTCATATATATACTTCATCTCACCTTCCCAATAGCCTGGCAAAACAAGCAGCGTAAATGTTATTTATTATCCTCCTTTAATAGATGGGGAATCTGCATTAAATCTCCTGATTCCTAGTTCAGTGCTTTTTCACTACTCAATGTTATTAGAAAATATCTTATTTTAATTATTTCTACCATTTGCTACTTTCCATTGCTCTTGTTAAACCTTCATGGAAATTTTTTCATATGCAAGTGTTTGTGCTGATAGAAGACAAATAACATACTTTTACAAGTCTAGAAAGGAATCTACTTAAAAAGAACACAAAAACGGGAGTATTTCCTTCCTTAAACACATCTAGTCTCACTATTCCCTTCTTGTATTTTCCACTTCTGTATATTTGAAGTTCATGAATTATAAAACATTAGGAAATTTCTAAGACATGAAGTTTAGCACAAAATAACTTATTTAACATTTCCTTCCCTAAAATTCATTGTAGCTTATTAGCTACCAACATACAAAGTCTGTAACATTTAAGAGCTTCCTGGTAAGAACCAAAATCTGTCTTTACGAATTAATCTCCTACTAAACTCAACATGAACTCTTCCTCTAGCCAAACTAGTCTATTAAGTATTTTCCAAAACCACCATTTGCCTGCTTATGTGCTCTTCTCCTACCATTCACTTATCTTGAATGCCTACATACAGTCTTCTCATTCTTCAAAGTCCCACCGTTAAAGTCTTCTCCTATGAAAAACATGATGTTGTGTAAAGAACATTAATCTGGAAGACAAGCCTGACTTAGATTTTAATCTAGGCTATGCCACTTACTGACTCATGTCTCTGAAGCTGGGTTTCCTCATCTATAAAATGGGGCAACATCCATTTTAGATAATCATAGACTTTGTGTTAGAATACAGTGAATAGCACAAAGAGTTAAATGAGGACTCGAACTGATCATCAGAAATAAACTTACTATTCATTTATTGAGCTCACTGAAATTTGCTTGTATAACTCATTTAGCAATCCATAGTTTGGACTTACTCCATCATCTCTTATACTTTGGCCCTAAATGATTATTTAACTTGTGGTATTTTAAGTCTTATTTCTCTCTTATGTTTTGTGTCTCCAAACAACTGAAACCTTTTTAAAAGCCACAACTATATGCTGTACCTATGTTACTTATAAAAGAAGACTCAAAAAATATTTCCTCAGTAAAGCATTTGTTGAAAATAGTCTATCCAGAAAATGAGAGTAACTTTTTAAGAAGTGCATTAATACAATGGAGCATCCACAGAAAGGTGAAAGGAGAGGAAAGGAGGGAGGAAGACGAGGTGTGGGAGTGGGCACAGGGTGTGTGGTGGGGGATTCAGACAAGGAAGATAGGAAGTGTATACAAACTGTGATTAACAGAGAAACTAGAGATGCTTAGATGTTTAACCTAAAGAAGACTTCAGAAAGCATGAAAACTAGAAGATAATAAATTATATGTGACTCTAAAAGCAAAACTAGGACCAATGGCTAAAATAAAAAGAAATTCGGCTTAATATAAAATTTTCTAATATTAGAGCTGCCCAACAATGGAATAAATATGATTCATTTAAAAGTAAATACCTTGTAAAATTAGATTTACTTAAGTAGAGCTCAAGGTTGAAATGGTTTCAGTCCACATAACAATATACCTAACAAGCCTGGCAGAATGTAAGACACTACAAATACCTCATATTTACTATCTTCAATCTATGCACATAATAGTCAAAAGTAGAAACTCCTTGTCAAGAATTACATATAAACTGGGTAAAGTCTCTCTCAATTCCACAAGCCTAAGACTCTATGTTTAGTAACTAACATTCTTCAAATACTCAATGAAATAATATTTTCTATAAGTATTTTTAAATGATAGTCCTCAGCTAGGATTTTGGGTTGCCATTTAAGCCACAAAAAAGCACTTTGGTTTCTCATCCTATAATTGACTTTTGAGACCACAATACCATCTTTAAAGCTGCAGTGTGGCTAGGAGTGGCAGTTCATGCCTATAATCCCAACACTTTAGGAGGCTGAGGTGGCAGGATCACTGGAGTCCAGGAGTTCAAGACCAGCCTGAGCAACACAGTGAGACCTCCATCTCTACAAAAATTTAAATTAAAAAAAAAAAAAACTGTATTGTACTTTACAATTTTGAAAGCATTTCCATATCTTTATTTTCAATAAAAATTGTGATAATAGAGAAAAGCACATGAATAGGCAAAAGCCAAACAGAGACCTCATAAAACACAAACTGTTTATTCTTCTTTTAATAATGTCTTAAAACTTCATTACTAATTAAATGAAACAGCAATTAAGACATCCACATCTTAAAAAGCAAACACTGCAACAGAAACATTCTATTCCTGCCACATTCATGTTCTTCTCAGAGATCACTCTCATTACCCAGAACTTAAAACAGTCACTGCTCTCTTAGAGCAGTGATTCTCAAAGTGTGGTCACTCCACCAGCAGCAGAGTAAATCTCCAGCAGCAGTAGCATCACCACCTGGAAACTTGTTAGAGATAGCAACTTCCCAGCCCCACCCGACCCACTGAATCAGAACTTCTGCAGTTGACTCACAATTTGGTTTCAACCAGCCCTCCTCTATAGGATTCAGATGCATGCCAAAGTTTGAAAATCACTCTTAGAAAATGGTTTAGTTTATTTCTAACTCAGCAGTATCCCTTTACTTACTTCTCCTCAGCATCTTTCTCTTTCTCACATTTTGCACAATCCAAAGATATTCTCATTTGAATAATTAATTCACCAACAATGTTGTGTTTCCTACTTTCCTCTTAAAATGGGAGGGTATCTTTTAAATGATCCAATTTATTCTTAATTTATTTCTTTTTTTGGGTGTGTCCTTCCAAATTCATGTAGGTACTTTAAATTTTTTAAACATAAATTAATAGTTTATAATAAATTACTCCATGTACACCAAAATTATCACTTTTCTACAAAAAAAAATTTGTTTTGACACATATAATCCTTGAAAGTATTTTCTTGAGAAACATAAAATGATACAGGACTTACTTAGCAAATGAACCTATGATTTACGGTCTAGAATTTCAGCTAATTTAAATATATAAGACTCACCTATAAAGAAACTTGCCAATGCATACATATTCCTTTTGAGATGGAATTCATATGTACACTTAAACAAGAGTAGTTTTCTTAAGAAGTGGTTTCTAGAAATGCTGACTGGAAATAAGAACTTTTTAAAAAAAATACATTTGGAGGTACAAGTGCAGCTTTGTTACGTGGATATATGGTGTAGTGGTGAGCTATGCAATATAGTGTACCCATCACTTGAATAGTGTATCTTGTACCCAGAGGTAATTTCTCATCCCTCACCTCCTCCCACCTTTCCTGCTCTTCAATATCTATTATTCTAGGAATGGGAACTTTTAGATACTATACATGTACATGTATGTATAAGCAGGTACATCGGTTCTGAAATGCTGACAAATAATAGCAACAAAGCAAAACAACCAAACTCATCTGAAAATAATTTTTTTGGTTGATGATAAATGTATCTAAGACCATAATTAATAAATCAGGCAAGAAATAGACCTCTGTTGCTAGATATTACACGGTAACTCACAACCAGGTACAATGTCTTACCTGTGTACATAATGTAGCTGATGAACTGAGTCAATTGCTATCACCATCTCAGCCAAGTAAAATCGAGCCATATCTTCAGGTAATCTATCTTCAAATTTGCTGAGTAGAGTAAGCAAATCCCCACCAACATAATAATCCATAACCAGGTACTGTGAATGAAAAAAACAAAATGTACTCAGTAAATAATAAGGGTGAAAAATTAAAATAATGTATCCCAAGGTCAAACAGGACTGGGTCAAATATTCATGCAGTTAATTACATATGCAGCTAATTAACAAGAAACTGTGTAAGATGATGATCCGCAGTCATTACAAAACTTCAGTACTTTGGGAGGGAGGCTGACACGGGTGGATCATGAGGTCAAAAGATCAAGACCATCCTGGCCAACATGGTAAAACCCAGGCTCTACTAAAAATACAAAAAAAAAAAAAAATAGCTGGGCTTGGTAGCACATGCCTGTAGTCCCAGCTACTAGGGAGGCTGAGGCAGGAGAATCGCTTGATCCTGGGAGGCAGAGGTTGCAGTGAGCCAAGATTGCTCCATTGTACTCCAGCCTGATGACAGGGCGAGAATCCGTCTCAAAAAACAAAACAAAACAAACAAACAAACAAAACACCTCTAAATTTCATATACCAGTAAAACAAAATGTTTAAAGACTGGAGCAGAGAACAAGACAGGGTTACCGTTCTTGTATTTTGCAAAATACAAAAACATTATTATTATCATCTTCACCTACAACAATGGAATACAACTTTCCAAGATTTTAGAAGAATGAACATTTGAATGCCCCACCAAAAAAAAAAAAAAAAAAATCAAAGAAAAAACTCAAAATGCAGGATAGTCCCTACATTGAAAGAAATTCATGTTCATCATCATTATGTTCTCCTTATTTCACCCTGGATCAGTAAGAACTTTATGAGAACCAGCATTAGTCTTAGATCAGCATTTGGAAACCACTACTATTAGAATAAAGCAATTCTCACCATATGTTTCTCTTCCCATTTTTAATATTGTATAAGTATCAGAATGGGCTTTTCTCAGGTGTATATAATAAATAGAAGCCAACTAATTATAGATATGGATTCTTATTGGTATGTGGATCACAAGGTCAGGAGATCGAGACCATCCTGGCTAACACGGCGAAATCCCGTCTCTACTAAAAATACAAAAAAAAATTAGCTGGCCGTGGTGCCATATGCCTGTACTCCCAGCTACTCGGGAGGCTGAGGCAGGAGATTTGCTTGAACCCAAGAGGCAGAGGTTGCCGTGAGCCACGATCCCACCACTGCACTCCAGCCTGGGCAACAGAGTGAGACTTCATCTCCAAAACAAAAAGCAAGCAAGAAAGAAACTAATGTCACATATTAAAGCCTTGAAAATTAGGGAAGCTGAATATATTTAAAATCCTGATCTATGGCCTACTTGCTATATTTACTAGGCCTAGCGGGGTTTTTTTTGTTGTTGTTTTTAGATGGAGTCTTGCTCTGTTGCCCAGCTGGAGTGCAGTGGCACAATGTCGGCTCACTGCAACCTCTGCCTCCTGGGTTCAAGCGATTCTCGTGCCTCAGCTTCCCAAGTAGCTGGGATTACAGACATGCTAATTTTTGAAATTTTAGTACCACACCCAGCTAATTTTTGTATTTTTAGTAGAGACAGGGTTTCACCACATTGGCCAGGATGGTCTCGATAACCTGACCTCATGAACTGACCACCTTGGCCTCCCAAAGTGCTGGGATTACAGGCATGAGCCAGCACGCCCACTGGCCTAATGTTTAACTGACACCATCCTGATAATTTACTTTTGATTAAAGTGTGAAGACTATTTTCTTACTGACAGAGTCTATAAAAATAAATAGACAATGTGTATTTTAACTAGTCTAAAACAACTAGTTAAATAATACATTCTCCTCATTTCAAATGAACCGTCCCTTCATCATATTTTAAGATCCCAGATATACTCATATCTGTTTCTAGAGAATCTATTCTGCTATGGTTACCTATTCCTATATTATTATAATATCATATTGTTCTGATTGGTTAATTTTAAAGAAAAATTGAGAATTTGGTATTCCTAATCAAAAACTACTTTAAAAATATTACCCAATGTAGCTAAGGTATCTTTAAACAAGTTTTTAAAAATACATATAGACTGAGAGGTAATATTCATAATAGGTCAAGGAGATAATCCTAAAATAAACAGCCCCTTCCAATTATTAAGACAGGGACAAATAATCCAACAAAATTGGGCTAAGAATATTAACAGATAATTCACCTAAGAGGAAACACAATCAGCCAATTAATATGTGCTTAACTTCAACAGTCATTAGGGAAATGAAAGCCAAAGCAACAATCATTGATTTTAGTAATCACTGGTCAGATTACTAAAAAGACCATGACAGCTTTGGGGACAGTGACTTGAAGCAATCCTGCTTTTGGAGGGATGATATACTATAACCTTCTGGGATCAAAGTAACTACTAAAATTTATACTGTACATACCCCTTGGATCTGGTATTCCCATTCTTAAGAATTTAGTCAATTACAACAAAAGCTCCAATATATAAGGAATGTGGGCAAGTATATTTACTGTACAGAACTATTAATAACTCCAACAAATCAGAAACAATATGAACGGTGATCAAGGAAACTGTTAGTTGAATTACTACATATCCATTATATCAACTACTATACTATCTAAAATAAAGAAATATAGATCTATAGGTATGAATATATACACCATAAAACTTCCAACTCAGAGTTACTAAAAAAATCACTTTGAAGCTATTTCAAAGTTTGTAATTTTTTTTAAAGAGCTCCAGTCCAAGGAAACAATGCTAAAACATATGAAAACACGGAATGAGTTATATGTCCAAAAATGAGCGTTTTAAAGAACAGGTAAGTTTCTAGAAGTCTTCATAAGAATATCAGGAAACTCTTCTAATTCTCATGCTAACATACCAAAGATATTAACGGTCAATTTTTAGAGCCTCGCCTTTTAGTTATTCCTTCTTGCTTTCATTTGGTTTACTATCAAAAAATAATTTTGTTAAAAAAAGATACTTTTCTAATAATTTCTGTCTTAACAAATTCGATTTCTATAAAGGATTTAGAGTTGGCATGAGTTACTATAATTAATTTAAAATTCAAGTATCTTTCACCTTTTAAACAAGTTACATGTCAATTTAAGAAAAATACTTTTGCTCTAAATATTTTCCTGGTTTTTTTTCTCAACCACAAAACAATTAAACAAAAAACAATGAATAAGAAAAGACAGAAGGAGCAAATTTCACTGGTTCATTATATTCTAGTGTTACCTGATAAAAATTTTATGCATCAATGTTGATGTAACTAAGCAGCTTTCTATTTAATGAGTTTTTCTTAAAGAAACAATTATCTAATCACATCCCAATATCAACCATCATTAAATTATGTGCCTTTTCTGAAACACACAAAAGGTCTACTTGATATCACAGCACATTTTTTCATAAACTATAGTGGTAAGTAGCTTAGAAATGAAAGTCAAGTTATTTGCCATAGCTTTCTTGAACTGCACAGCATTATGCAGTTCAAATTATGTTCTTTACTTGGCTATTTAAAAGCTATCAGGATTAAAAATTACTTTGAAAAGTAATTATACATAATAAAATTGACTTTTCTTGTATCTAAAATTAGCATTGTCAACATTTTTTAATGATTTTATTTTCTAATATTTTATAAATGTTCAAAAGATAATCTTTAATGATAACCAAGACCTCTGACTCTTAAAATGAATATATGATGAAGTCTCCCCTAAACTAAAGAAAAACTGGCAAGTTATAGGAAATTTGACTACTAGAGTGTTTCATTCCTCCTCCAGTTATGTTTTTAATTCTATTTTAGTAATTACTGAGGGACATATCCAGAATATTTTTCCCTGAGAAATGTCTTTGAAAGAAAAATGTTAATCCTAATGTCAAATACAAAGAACGCAAATAAAATTAAATAAGAAGAAAGAGATAAATCACAGTTCAGGCTTTTCTCTCATCAAAGTTTTGAGAAATTTTTATAAAATTTGGTATTTGGGTACTTTACTTCTATTAATATATCTACAAAATTATATAATTATTTCTATATTTATACCAAAACGTAGAATTTTAAGCAATGCACAAATTTGCAGTGTTACATTTCTCTACTACAGAATACACTGTAATTGTGGATTTTATTCACTATTTAGAAACATTTTTAAAATTATGATACAATGCTATAATTTTTCTAGGCAAAGATGTGGGATATGTTTTAATTTCCTCTTAAAATGTTAACAAAACCCATGCGGATTATATTTGCATGATACAGCCATTTCTAAACTTTTTTGTATTATGTATAACAAATCCAGTTAAAACATCATTCTATTCAATTTAACAACTGTGCAACTAATACATACAAAGCTCTATGTTATGGCTTTCAAACAATTCTTACTATAACCCACAATAATATATAAAGCTTATATGATAATTTGGTATATCATAAAAGAAATGTGTCAGGAGACCATATTCACTCTTACTACTTGTCATGAGCTCTGTCATTTTCTATTCTATTTAATTTTTTTAAATGTAGCTTATGGCTGGGCATGGTGGCTCAAGCCTGTAATCCCAACACTTTAGGAGGTCAAGCCGAAAGGATCATTTGAAGCCAAGAGTCCAAGACAAGCCTCAGTGACAAACTGAGACCCCATCTTTACCAAAAAAAAAAAAAATTTTTTAAGTTAGTGGGGCACAGTGGCACACACCTATATTCCTGGCTACTCAAGAGGCTGAGGCAAGAGGACTGCTTGAGCCCAGGAGTAGAGGCAGCAGTGAGCTGGCAACATAGCAAGATCTTGTCTCTTTAAAAAAAATGCTGCTGCTTGTAACCAACTTAATTGATTTTATTACTCACTAATGGGTCACAATCTGTAGTATAAAAAAATTACTATACTCTATAAGTATATAAGGGATATAAAGGACAGGTAATATACTGAAATTGTTTGATCTGGCCTGCAATCAGATAAACCCCATGACTATTAAGAGTTATATAAACCTTGAGGGATCCAAGATGGCCGAACAGGAACAGCTCTAGAGAGCAGTTCCCAGAGAGAATAATGCAGAGGGTGAGTGATCACCGCATTTCCAAAT